TACCTTTTGGTTCCCCTTAGCACCACCATTGAAAACAATATGTTTCACACGGTTCACAAGTAGAACAAAACAAGAGCCACTTTTTGAATTACGGACGTCCTAGGCATGCGATCTACACCTTGTATAGCAGTTGCTTCTTGTTCGATAGACCTTGGTGCAGTTTCACTTGGGATGCGTTATAGAGGCCAAACAGAGGGCACACAGACAACAATGACAAACAATGACAACAGAGGGCACAACTCTTCGGGAAAACAAGCCCTCCTGGGTACCTTATTACCTGTAAATCAAACACGCGAGGACAACTAGCCGCCCTTGCAAGTGGCGATGATGTCCTTGCCAGGAATGCCAAAAGATCGCAAAAGCAAGCTGCTGAAACGGATCCCAGGAAGGAGATGACCTATTCATTGTTGACAACATGGGTACGATCTTCATGGGAGACCCTTTGGTGGACATCACTTACGAGTACATGTCCACCAACCCACTTTTCAAGGGCTTCTCTATGGAAAATCATCGCCAGGAATGTGTCAGAATGAACTCAGATAAGCTCATACAGAGAATCTGTGCTACCTCAAGGGGGATTCGGTCGCACCGCTCGGAGAGATCAGGATCCCAAGGAGCACGGTGCGCTTTCTCACACACCCCCTGCGGAACAGGTCTTGGAACTGGGTGAAACTTGGACCGAGCGGAGTCCACCTTACGCAGTTTCCAAAGCCTTGCCATGCGGACGCGCACCGATAAAAATGCATTTTCAATTAGTGCGTAAAACCACGGAGACATATGCAAATTCTAAAGAATGCAATTGGAACAGAAAGGCAGTGCTTGAAGACACGAAAAGCGGAGATGTAAAGTGAAGCACCTTGCATTTCTGTGATGAAAAGAACACACAGCAACAAAGTTACCTGCTGAGACTGCAAACCCTTCTCCAGGTCAAACAAAAGTAGGTCGACAAAAAAAGATCAGCCATCCTTATATCAATACTTGCTCCCTAAACTTGCTAGCCCCCCCACCAAAAAAAACTAAAACAAAAAAAGGCCCTCGAACTCCCCAAGTTCGAGGCCTCCTCGCAGCGGTCGTCCATACAGGCGAGCCCCGTGTTCTTGGGCATGGCCTGCCGAGAGACGGTGCCAAGCGTCGTCGCAGAGGTGGCCCCAGGAAGAGGGTTTGGAAACCACCGGAACTTACTTAGGCCAAAGCCGGCCAAGGACTTTTCTTGAAGGGCCGAAATTGCCATGGTTATACATTTGGAGTTGAATTCCTTCAGCACCAAACTCTGAGAAAGCAATACTGTTGCAACAATGTCCAAGCTCTGCACAAGCTACTGTAATTCTCAAACTGGAAAGTAAAGGCTGCGCCTAGTCAAGGACCTTCAGCATTGAAGTTTGGGGGGAGAGGGGAGTGTGCAATGCAGTGTCCTTGCAGTTTACCTTGAAACACCAAAATCGGAACCCGATGATTGAAGAAAACCAAATATGTGTTGGCTCCTTGCCTAGTCGCCAAGGTGGCAGGGCTTGCACTTCTGTTCGGCGCGTGGAAGCCAAAATTCCATCGGGGAGGACACCTTCCCATGTGGTTGCAGTAAGCAGGTTGAAGCGAAGTGAATCCAGGTACAGCCAACGTCATGCTGACGTTGGCCCTGTGAAGACGGAAGGAAAACTAATCTGAATAAGCAACTATTTTCTTGTGATTGGATGTACAGGAACCACTCACCCTGAAATACAAGAGGATGCCAGGGATGACTTGCAAATAAGTGACTGGCCAGGCAAATATCCTTGACATGCCCGTGAATACAATGATTTGAACAAGGGAACAGCTTATCAACAGCTTATAGTTGCTTTGTTCAACGGGTACGACCCGAACCATGGGCGGATATTCGCAGAGCTCAAGCGCACACATTTGAGATGCCATGGCAGTCTCCAAAGGATCCCTGAGAATCCGAAACAAAAACCATCACACGCAAGCTGTGCCAGGAAGCATGCGGAAACTTGACGTGACGATGAATTAACACCGGGCAAAAGGTCAAAAGGTCGGTTTGTGCGGCGTGAGGACTCCAAGATGATCAACGACTATATTTCGGACAAAGCTCGAACACTTTAAATCTCCATGCGTAACATGAATTCCAGCCAGGGAAATCCAATGGTATATTAATGGCCCAACCCCCCAAAGCCCAACCCCACCGCCCCCAGCCCCCCCAACGCTCCAAACCCATTCTCGCGGCAGCCACCTTGCCCAGGACGGTCCTCACTTTCGAAGCCATGGCCTCGGGCACGGCCAAAGAGCTGGAGATCTTGGGAGAAAAACAAAAAAACTGGGGCCGGGGTTTAGGTCCAACCCGTTTTTTTCGGGGATGCTCCCCATCAACCAAAACAGCCATGGTGGCAACATTGTTTGCTGAAAGTGACGTGATTGGAGTTTGGCCATATTCTCAGGTTTACCGTGCTTTCACTGGTCGGACCCTGCAGAGTGCTGATTCGGACGCTTGGGGCGAAGGGTTCTAGTGTCAAGTTAAAGCTGGTGCTCAATGGGCAGGAAAGCTGCCTGAACGACAAAACCATGGCCGGGACTTTGCATGGGTGGGGGGTGATTTGCCACATAAGCTCCGGTGCCACTCCAAGGAATGGTTTCCAGGGAGGGTTCCTTTACGGCGTAGGGTTTACAAAGGTCTCGGAGGGTCCATGCCCCTCGCTCCCGGCTACACTTCTGCAAGGTTTTCGAGTTTGCTGGGGATGCCGTTTTGAGTCTTGTGGGTTTGTATTTTTCAGGGGAGCCCCAAGATGCTGGTGCTCGTTTGGAGTTCCCTTTAACCTACCAGCAGGGGGTTCTCCAAGCCAAGGGCACTAGGGACCTAGGCTAGTCCTCCTGAAACTCCAAACATCTTCGTCATTGAGCGCCTGCCTTGCTCACAGGATACAACCTTAACTTGTGTTCAGGCTCCATTGGCGCGGCGGCCTTGGCTTCAACAAGACCTGTTGATCAGCAGCCAGCCAGACTCCACCAAATTGGGGTTGCACCTATTGATGGTTGAGATTGTCCCTTACTAACCCTCAACTACCCAGGTGTTGAATTGTGGCTCAGCCAGGCTCAACTTTAGGTAAAGCTGCTGACTCCGTGCTTTACTCTTCCAGGAAATAAGAAAACGGTATGTTTTTGCATGATTGATGACATGTTTCTTTCCAAAACTGTCCGCCAAAAGTCTCATTTCCCAGGCAATGGAATCAGACAGCACCACACCAACTACCACCTCCATCTCTTGCTGCTCAATTGAAGGGCATCTGGAGGTATTGCGGGCTGAGTATTTGAATCCCAAACATCCAGTTCTGGCCAGGTTCCCTTGTTCATGACTAAATGTGCTGATCCCTTGGAGTGTTGTGAAGTTTGCATTCACCCAGTGAACATAACTCTAGGTAATGCACATAACAAGTGGGTGTCTGTTTTTAGGGGAACCAAAAAAAAGTGTTTGTCCTGTTGCTTTCATTTTACACCCACGAGAAAAAGTACCAACTCCAAAACAGGGAACACAAGGCAAAAGTCAAGCAAGTGAGCTAGGTCAGGCGATCTTCAAGTCCCAAAAGCATTTTATTAATCTCGCCGGCCATTTGGCTGTGGGTCAAAACCAATGGTACCATTTTGGGGTAGGTGCACCACCCATTTTAGTCTATTTTAGTGGGGATTGGGATGTTCACTGGGGGTACGGCCGTCTTACCCATGGCCATTTGACGACCCCCCGTCACGTGCCTCGCAGAGATCGGTGCAATCCACGGCAATCACATCTGCGCGTGTGAAGCTGGGAAGCTTGCGTGCGACAACGTGGCAGCAAACTCTCCAGCGCACAAAACACATTGACTCTTGGTTCGACTGAAATGGTGGTAAAAACAAAAATCACGCTGGTGGTTCGATTGAAGTGGTGGAAAACAAAGGTTTACGGAGGCTTTACTATACCTTGAATAAACAAGATAGAACCACCTACAAAATGGCCAAAAAGGTGAGTCTGATCTCCGTTCTGGAGCCACATCTCGGAACTGGTTGCACCACCCAGTGGTAGACATCCTGCGATGGGAATGCGCCTATCGCAAAATGGCAGGGGTATGAGCACAGCAGTTGAGGGCCTCCATGATTTTGAGACACACACACACACTGATGGTTGCAATGGGCTGGCCAACCCGGTCCTGATCAACTCTCTGGATAGTTGCCTGCTCTCATTTTGAGACAAAACCAACGCCCGTGCAGCTTCTGGATACATTGCACAAAGCTACACAACAACATGGCGCTGATTTGCGAACGCCTCATGCTCTTCCATTCACCGCCCTCTAGTCAGCCCGAGTTGAAACGATTGAACTCGCCACCAGGCTATTGGATCTTAAGAATGGCATGCACCAGTGGCCAGCGTCCAGGGTACCTTTTTCATACTTGTTCACCATCATGAAAACCGAACTGCAGGTCACATGACCATTTTCCCAACTAGCCAAGTGGCGCAGCCGGGCCCGCGGGCCCGCGGGCCCGGCTGCGCCTTGGCGCCGAACCTATGCCATGAGCCCGGTACTGTGTGTGGTTTTTTTTTTTTGTTTTTTTTTTTTTTTTTCTCGCGCGAGAGGTGAATGGGGTGCTTCCTAAAACTGTAGACCACTGGATTCTGAGAAACAAGGCCACAATTTTGAACCTTTGTTTCCAGAAACGAAACAGGATCCGTTCATTTGTGCGTGAGCTGCAAGCAAGTTGCCGCGCGGCTTTTCTCTGAGCGCGCCATGAAGTATGTTGTCCCCTGACCCGTCAGACAGTCTGTCGTTCAGATTAGGGCACCCCCGAAACTGGACAAAGTTCAAGAGTTTCCATTGAACATCTGCCAGCGTACGAATCTTCAGCCCACATGGGCAAGTCTCACCTCCGAAATGTACTTTTTGTTGTTGTGCCTCACTTTAAATCCAACCAGAAACCGGATTTTCGGAACTCAGCGGCAGCCGCCGGTCTCAAACACAGTCGGCAGAAGCGATTCTCATGTTTTCGCATCATGTCACCCGGGAAATCACCATGGTCTCGCCGCTCCAGCATCGTTTCCTTCCAAAGGACATCGTTGAGCCCTCAGGGCTACTCACTCCCATGGACCCAGTGCCTCCCAAGTTGAGAAAGCGGAGGAAGTGCTGCGCCTGCGCGAAGTTGCATGGACCAACGGACCAAGGTCCAGGGGCCTACCGAAAACAAAAACAAAAAAGGAAAAGGAAAAAAACAACGAGGAAAAAAAGAAGTTATCCACATGGAACTATGGAACCCACCAAGATGATGGATCGCCGTTTGTCTTCCCCGACCAACCCAACAAGGGGCACCCTGAAAGACACCCTGTCAATTTATGCCCATGCAAAATGAGGTCAATGGCTTGGGCGCCATTTGTCAAGGTCCAAACAGCCTTTCGGTTCCACAAACTCGATCCCCAAGACACGTAGGGCTGTTCCCCGCCGAAAGGGGAGGGGGTCCAATCAATTTGTTCTGCTCAAAACGTCTGGGAGTTTTTGTTGGCACATAGCACCAATGATAAGATGCACACGTAGGCGGATTTTCACAGAGGTGTAGATTCACGGCCACACAAAAGCACACACACACACACCACCCACCCACCCTTTGAAAAAGTAACCCAAAAGAATGGGAAACCCTGGACGGTCTGAAATGTGTAGATGGATGCGACCAAAAGTGAGGCTTGCCTCCTGCGGGTTCTCTGTAGGCTCTCTTTGACAAGGCTCGAAGAAAATTGTGGTTGCCGCAGCTCCCTCCTGCAGATGGACAAAGTCCACTTCGCCAAGTTGGGAAACCCATGAATGGAGGGTTTCCGATCTGGACGTGTTTGCATCCCCAAAGAACACCCAGAAACCAAAGGTTCAACCCTGGGCTGCCCTCAGACTCCCCGCTAGAAGTTTATCTTTTAGTGGGTTAAATGGAAACTACCACTAAACACCAAAAAGCTAAAAGGCTAAGTAACCGGATGGCTGGGAGCCACCAAGACCACAGCTTCAACCATGGGGAAATGTTGGGGAACACAGAGTGCCGATCGGCGTGTTAGTGTCGGAATCCCCCAAAAAAACACCCAGAAACCAAAGGTTCAACCATGGCCCTCCCCCCCTTAAAAAAAAACAAAAGGTTTAACCATGGGGGTTGGGTAAAACCGGTCAGAATGGTGAAAACCATGGGGAAATGTTGGGGAAAAAGAAACCCAAAGGTTTCCGGTCAGATCCGGTCCACTTCAGGAACCTCCAGCTTCTCCAGGGCCAAGGAGTCTGCGAACTGCTGGACGGTCACCGAGGGCTCCTGGCGCGTTTTTCGCCCCCGGTCCTTTGGTCTGAAGGAAACCCGGGGGCAAGTCTCTTAAACACATATGCTTGAAGATAGTGAACATTTCACATAAAACTAACTAAGTTGATAGAATGGATAATACTAATAAATATTGAATCAATAGTTATTTGAAGAAAATTATTCAAACTCCCAGATAGGAAGCAATATGTATCTGCCTTTCTTAGGGCAACCACTCTCCTAGATAGAAATGGGCATCTGCTATTCCTGAAGATCTGTGGTTTTCCTTTGGATTCTCGTTTTAACTCAACAACAACCCACAGGTAGAGCCACAAACGGATGTGGTGGAGCTATTTGATCCAAGTCAAAGGTTGGCGCCTTTTGCGAGAGCTCCGAGCGCTTGACCACCGATTTCGGTGAGGTCAGAAGGGTCCGCCTCTGTGTGGTGAGCCTGAGTGGGGTTTACCGGGCTGTGAAACCCTCAGCAAATCATTGGGAGGCCAAGCGAGGGTCCTTTTAGCAAGCCTTGGGGTCCAGCTAGGGTTCTGTACCTCCAAATTTAATGCGTTGATTTTTCGTATAACCAACCATGTTGAATGTAGGTCTGAAAAGGGACCTGGAGCGATTGTGTTCTTCTTCCATGGGGGGGGGGAAAAAAAGTGAGGGTGGGTGGCTTTAAATTGGGCTCTCCGACTGAGACTCCCACTCGGTTCACCCAAATGTATGATGTCAAAATAAATATTTCTTGAGAAATGATGATGGACTATGGGGTGACCTTCTGTGAATGTCTGGGCATTGCTTGCCATCTCGAAAGGCCTCATGACACCCATCGTGATTTCACTTGCTGCTTTGTTGTGTGGTCAAACAGCACAAGCAAATGGCGGGGGCATGAAGTTGGTAGCCTCAATATTAGACCAACAATAAGACGCGCATATATATATATATATATATATATTACCGGGCAGCCTGACAGCCCTACAGCCCTTGACAAGAAACCTAAGACCACAGCTGCCCAAACCCTCGTTGGTCAAAACCCCATGGCTTAAAAGGTCTAAACTCTCCATGATTAGACTTAGGCCCAGGTATAGAATGTATATTATATTATTTTCTTTCCTTTGAGTCGCTGGCGAAATGTAAATTGTATCCTAAGTCTACCCCAGTCTCATGTTGGCTCCAGCGGTTTTCCTTGCCTTTAGAGCCACTAAACGTAGGGATTCCCCCCTCCGGCGTTCGATTTTGCGGGCCCATCCTCATCGGTCTCTGTGTCCACTGCGCCCATGACCTGGGCGCGGACTCCGCTGACGCGATTTGAGGCCGAGAGAAAGTGGACTCAGCGGGCTGTCTTTTTCAGGCCCAAGGGAAACGAAAGGGAGAAACAAACAGCTAGAAAATCACCCGTCTGTCCTTTCGGGCTACCACTCGGACATGCTGCCAGTTCCTTGCAACTATCGGAGTTGTCCGTTTGCGTAAGGCGCTAACAATCAAAGTTCAGTCAAGTCCAAACAGGCTGCTTAAGGTGTTGAATAGAACCACGATGCTTACAACTATGTCTCATTTCCTTTCGCACCAACTCTACTGGGCAACATTGAGAAACAAATCGCCTTAAACACATGCCAGTTCCTTGCTTGTTTTCCTCTTAAGCAACTGAGACAGGCCAAAATACAAACAGCCCAAAAAACACAAAACATGTGCAACACACATAAATCAATATATATATATACATAGACACGTGTGCATATATATATATATATTGATATTATATACACATATATATATATATGTATATTTCTATTATACATATATATATATATTATCAATGATGCGAGTCATTTTGGACACTCCTCGAGTGTGTTCGAAAACAGGCAAACACGTGCCGACCGCATGGGAACATTTCCGCTTGACTCAAGGCCCCGGCTTTGCACATCTCGGACACCGTTCTCAGGGTACAAAACTCGTCCTCGTGAGGAGCTTGGGCTGTCAGCCTGGCCTTTGGCTGGGGCTCAGCTGCTCAGCTCGTAAATGGGAGTGCCCCACCCCATTAAATGAACCAGGGCTTCATGAATAGGGACAACATGAGAATGGATCCCCGAGAGTGAACCCCCAAAAGAAGTCTCCTGTACAACTTAGTAGCGCTGTAGAGTTCCATGCTCATGTTCTTACAAGTGAGCCGTGCTAAATACTCTTGTGTAAAAAGCGGTCCTATAAACTTGCTTTCGCGGACGCTTTCGCGATGCTTTCGCGACCCCATGTTTTGCTTTCGCGGGCTTTGGTTTCTTTAGAATTGCTTTCGCGACGCTTTCGCGGCGGACCGTCACACAGCATGCAGGCTTTCGCGGGTCTTTCGCGGCGGGACCTTCTTTGGTTACTTTCGCGATAAGCTTTCGCAAGCTTTCGCGGCCTGCGTTTTAACTTTCGCGGGGATTCTATAGGACACCCCCCTTTGCTACTTTGTATTGTCAGGGTTGATGGCGCTGCTCAAGTGTCGTTGGTGGTTGGACTTGATGATTTGGAGCTTCGCGACAAGGGATCCATCCCCTCCATCGTTCAAACAATTGCAACCTTTTTGGAACCCTGACTAAGACTGGACCCATACTATGAAAGAATTGGTCAAAGGGTCTCTAGTCATGACATAAGGCCATTTCATCTGGCGTTGAACCCAACCCGCTTGGCGTTAGCCCGGGCAGGTGTTGCCTTTCGGGGATTCACTTTAAATGCAGACCTCATAAGGTTCGGAAAGGCCGAGCTATCCGCTTCTGCCATTCAGGATACAGTTTTTTGGGGAAGCTTTTGCACACAAGACACGAGGAAGGTTGGTGCCTCCCATTCTATCTCAATCAGCACAGTCAAATGACTTCCCATGGCTGTCGCATTCTCACCACGGGTTCCATGCTGGAACTTGCCGAGAAACTCCTGCACGTTTCAATGGGTACGTCTGTTTTGGAGGTTGCCTTTTTTGGGGTTGGTTTAAGGGGAAACCAGAAGGAAGCCCACCATTCCCCCCAAAGCCACGACACACCCAAATTACATGGGGCACTATGCCTTTCTGCAAGAAGCGCGTTGAGCCTGCTCCAAGCCTTGGATTCTTGCTGGATCTCTGCGACCCATCTGATTCAAATCTGGGTCAGCATTTGGAAGCACTCCACCTCGTAGGAATCCCCTCTCGCCTTCTTTAGCCGCTGAAAAAACCAGTGAAAACCAGCCTCAAGCAACACATTTTAGTTTTGTAGGGTGCCGCCAAACGCAAACACACACGCGCGCACACACAGCATTGTGCTTCTCCGGTGTTCAGCCCGTGTCTGAAGGTGGCTTCTTCACTCCCGTCCAAAACCCGTGTGCACTGCTGTCGTTCACCTTCAATTTTGGAAGGACTGTGCTTTTCTCAGTTGTTCAATGGCACCCTTATTCCCTTTTTTTGGTGGCTGCCCCGCCAACAATGGTCTTCCCCAAAAAGGGTTCCCTTTTAGGCATTTCGGCTCGCCGGTGAAGCGTCCACGAAGCAGCTTGCCATGCTGCAGCACCGTTCTCTTCTTCAACGTGGAGGCCCCTGCCCTACTCGGATTTGTTGGCAAATGTTAGAGTGGTGCGTGCTACGGTCCGGTGTGACTTTCCTATGTGTCATGGCCATTTACCTCATCCAGGTGGGCATTTTCTTCTTCTTCTTCTTCGAGGTGATTGCTTTTGCCTTTTTGCACGACGTCGTACTGCTTTGGGGTTTTCCACTTGCCACATTGTGGGTATGTGACCAATCTCCTGGAGTGTACCTTGTGGGTAAGGTTACCTCCTTGCTGGATTGTGCAAAATTTATGCAGTTTTTGCGGCAGTACAGACTCCGTGCAGATCTACAGTGGTGCTGGCAGTCCTTTGATTGCTCATAGCAGGTGCGACTTCTCCTATCCTTCCTGTTGTAGTTGGTTACTTTCAGTGCTGTCACTCTTCGCTGCGAGTGCTGTTTGCGCGCGTCAGAGCCTCCTCTACCTGGCGAATGTCCTTTCTTTGGCTCGGCATTTACTTCGTGGTACCGGTGCGGCATCCTACGCCTTGCGTGCGCCACTCCCTGCTTTGGGGATTGGCTCTGTTCGGGTATAGTCCCAGCCTCTGAACGCCTTCGGGTGAAGGTGCTGCGTTGTGCTAGTCTCCCAGTTTGGATGCCTGGTCTAGGCCCGCTTTGCGTGGCGCTTTGTGCGGCCCTGTTGTTCCCAACTTGCTGGGAGTTTTGCGGATTTCGTCCTGTGAGTTCCTGACCATCTGGTTCAGTGAGCTATGGGCTTTCTTGGTTGCTCGGTTCCGTGGGGTGGCCACAGGGATGTTGCAAAGCTCCCCTGTGGTCACCGTCTGTTGTTGGAGCCTCGGCTCTTCTGTTTCACCCTTTGGGCTCTGTTGAGCCATGCACTCGGTCGTATGACGGCATGTCTTACGTACCTGCGCAACCGATCGAGGGAGCGCCACGTGTCAAAAGGGTTCCCATTTTCTTCCAGGGTCACTGAACTGACAGCTGAGCCCTAGCCAAAGACCAGGCTGACAACCCGAACTCCTCACTTTTTGTTTTGGAAGTGCTTTTCCATCGGAGTCGCAAAGGGGGCGCCACTTCCGATCTTCACCCGGGGTCTGCATCAAAACCATGGCTCCTCTGCTCTCTTGCGTGTCTGGGACTCGCCGTGGCTCACCTAAGGCTCGGATTCAAACAACTCACTTGCTGAGTGGATGGCCCATGAAAAGTGCAAACTTGATATTTTCCACGAAAATGGTCCAAACCCAAAAAGCTTATTCAGTTCATAAACTCAGGAAGTGAGACAAGATGAGCTCCCAGAATCAGTTCAACCATGATGGACCCTTTGATTCCCCAACAAATGCATCCCGCAGACTATACACTGAGAGGTTCATGTTGGGCTACATGGCCACATCTGTCTTGCCGGGGAAGATACCAAGATCATGCACCTTGTCTCCTTGGATTGTGCGCTTCAGCATCATGGGACGTGCGAAAGCACGCTTTCGGAATTGGACCGCGACGTGCACTTTTGGTTGCCCTGGTTGGGCAGCTAGATTGATGTTGGCATACTAGACGCCTGGTTTAGAACGCGCACTTTTTGCACAATTGGATGATAACGACTCGGCTTAATTGGAGTAATTACAGAATCCTCACCTGGCGCAGCATGGAGTAGGGCTGAGCTATCCACACCCCCCTCATCACAAAATAGATGTGGAGCAGATGCCCGGAACATTGGAGACACCTGCAATGCATCCCAAATCACACGCTTCGCAAGAAAAACCCTCTACGGGTGTCGAGGTGTTTGGGTGTTTGGGTGTTGGAAATATTGATGGCCAAATGGTGCATCCTTTCACTACCTTGCTCGAGCTTGGAGGCCGAACAAGATCCCATGACTTGGATGGACCAAACATCCACGCGAATCAATCGGCAGTTGTGATCGGTCCTTTCTCCTGGCGTGGCTTCATCCCAATTTGCACGTGGATTTGGTCCAGCATCTCCAATTCAGCATCTCTGGAAGCAAGAAACAACTTGCGGACCTATGAGATTCCCGGAATACGGCATATGGCGAATGGCGAAAGGCCGTGCCACAAAGGACCGAAAGTATCCAAAGCCCAGATGCAGCGAATCGAAGCACTGTCTAGCGCCTCTCGCTTGTTCAAGAAGTCTGGATTCGACGGTGGGTCTAGGAAATAACAATGGGCATCCTTTGGTTTCCGTCTGAGCGAATAAGACTAGCATTTTAATTTAGCACCCCAACAGCGCCCAGAACAGAACAGGTTCAAATTGCGAGCTGGTTGCCCATTTGGAGAACCCGCACCTGAAAACCTCCAGCGTGGTACAGAAACCCACCCCTATGTTGGGCTTGTCTGCAAAGCACAACCGTCACCGCGAATTTAGTGCGTTTGGGTAAAGCCCTCTGATGACTTGATACGCTTTTCGGGGCTCGCGGAATCACCAAAAGGATCAAAAGGACACTCCTCACCCCAAAAGCAGACAGAGTGGAAGGAGCCCTGCGTCAAACCGGTCGCAAACCAAGCACCTTAGGCTGGCCTCATTGCTTTACCATGATCAAAGTCACCCCCCAAGTGGTGGGTTGAAGGGAAACAACCACATTTTCTGACTTTGATAACCCCCAGAAACAGTCAAAATAATGACCCCAGTTAGGAGTTTCGCGCTGCGATTCTGGCCCAGCGGCACCCTGCTTAACCTGAATCTGGCAAATCTATAGACCCTTTCCAGCCACAAAAGTAGCACGAAAATGCTCTTTGTGGTAGAGGCAAAAAAAGGGAAACCCTTGCAACAAAGGAACTTTCGGTCACCAGGTGGCTTGGAGTCTACCCCAAAACGGCAGCTTCTTTTTAGTCAGACCCTCGGGAATCCGCTAATGGAAGACGCTGGGCCCGAAGCCTGACATGCCCCCCCAGCAAACCGGGGTGGTTTCCTGGTGTTTTTTTTCGCCCAGCAGCAAGAACAGCAAAGCAAACAGACCCCTGAACAAAAAAGGCGGGACGCGGGTCCCTTCCCTTCTAAGGATGGTCAGTTGATACATCCTTCCTGGGTACCGCGGGCTCACTTCCTGAGTAGATTGGCCCAAGGCTACAACTTTGGGTTTGCCACTCAAGGAGTCTTCCCAAACAGTTTTCTAAAGTCTGCGTGAATAATATTTCCCCCACCTGAAATAAGGTGGTTGGGGGGCTATTCCCCACAACCACCATTTGGGGTGAGGTCGCGCGAGGTTGCCATAACTCACCCAGCAAAGCCAAGTTCTACTACCTCCTCCAGTAGAGAGGTTAGAATCAGGGTACCAACTTTTTTCTGTAGTCTATTTTAGGGAAACCCTCCCAACCGAAAAAAAAAAAAAAAAAAAAAAAAAAAAAAATGGGGTGAGAAAGGGCA